TCACCACCCCCCCCCCCCCCCCCCCTTGTTAGTTAGAAACTTCTAGCATGGGTGCATACCTTGCCAACTATACAAGGTGGCCTTGATACATTAGAAACTTTCTTATTAAGACAGAAAGCAAGTACCAGGCAACAAGGAGACAGGGAGTTTTCTTATCAGTTTCTTAAGCAAGCTGTTCAGCTCAGCAAGTACAAAAATGCAGCTGTTCGCTTATCTCATGCCCTTGCTCAACTCATGTCTCAAATTTTGTTCAGGGACTACCCAGAACTCCTTGCTGGACTCTTCTCGGTTTGTCTTAGCATAACCACTCTAGGCCCAATTCTCTAGGGCCTAACACATGGCAGGGCCCTGCTCTTTTTCACTGATGTGGGAACTGAGCAGGGTGTTTGCAGCCCAACTGTTCGTGACACCCTCTCCCCAGAGTGTGTGTCGTGAGTGTCAACTGTGGTGGCGCATCATCAGCTATATCCGGGTGGCCAACCTTAGAGACGTGAGCCAAAATAGGGGTGGATAGAGTGTGAAGAGCCATGTACCAGGGGGTGGAGGAAAGAGCTGTTGAGCAAAAAAAAAAAAAATTTCTCCGCACGTCGGGAGAAAATAGGTGCCGGTACACCGTCCCGGGCATAGTTGAAAAGCTTAGGTGCAAGCTCTGGGAGGGATCTGGATGCAGGAGGAGGTAGAGAAGGGGCTGCTGGCTCAGGGAGGGGGCTCCAGGCTGGAGAGTATTGGGGTCAAGTGAAGAGTTGGGGTGTTGAGAAAACCACAGGCTTGTGGATGTGAGGGTGCAGGAGTTCAGGTTGGGCTGTATGAGGGGCTCAGGGCAGGGGGGTTGGGAGTATGACGGGCTTAGGACACAGATTTGCAGTGTGTGGTTGGTGCAGGAGTGTTGTGGCAGAAGACTGGGGATGTGGGGCTGCAGGAGTTTGGGAATGTGAGAGACTCAGGACAGTGGGTTCCAGTGTATGATGGGCTCAGGTTTGAGGTTGAGAGTCTTATGAAGCTGCCGCCAGATGGGGCTTGGCCCCAATTGAGGGCTTGTTGGCCAGGCTTCATTTTTAAATAAAATATTATGTCAAACACAAAATGTTTCAGTATTGTCTTTATTTATGAGAGGGGCGGGGAACCTGTTTTGAGCCAGGGGTCAATGACCCACAGAAAAGTCAGTCGGGGCCACGCTCTCCTTTTCCAGAGCCAGGCATCTTTCCTCTTCCCCCGTTCTAACCTAATTTCCCTCTCCCCCTAACCTTTTGCCCAGGTCCCGGAGCCGCCACCGCTGCACCCGAAGCCCTCGCCGCTGCCTGCGCTCAGCGGCCAGCTGCTAGCACATGCAGGATAAGACACTGTGTGTGACCTGGCCTGCACATGCAGAATATGACACAATGCGCTGGGGGCCATGAGTGGAATGGCGCGGGCCATGAGCACACATGCTGCTCTCAGCGGTCCAGCAATGAGAGTGGCTGACCTGAGCAGTTCCAGGTTCCATCCTGGTTCCGTCAGGAGCCGCAATTTTTTTTTTCGCGAGCCTCATGCAGCTCACAAGCCGCAGGTTGGCCACCACTGAGCTATATGATCCCAAAGGCACGGTAATTACATCCTTACCCACCCAGCACCACCTAGGTCACACATGGTGATGCTCTGTCTCTGGGTGGTCAGTCTGTGCTCTGCTATTCCCTGGCTAGCACACTACCTTCCCACATCCTAATGACATACTCAACCAAACAATGAGTGTTTAGAACAATTTGCACCTTCTCTTATCAGTTTCGTGTAACATGAACACTCTAATTCACTATTTTTTCCCCTTCCTTCTTCCCTTCTCCCCCAGCCCTATTATTTTGGAACTGGACTTTTAACATTCCATTTATCTGAAGAAGTGGGTTGTACCCATGAAAGCTCATGATACAATTGACATGCTTTGTTAGTCTTTAAGATGCTGCTAGACTATTAGTTGTTTTTTAAGTTTTTCCAGTTACATACTAACTGGGCTACCCCTCTGAAACTTCAAATTTAGGTAGATATGGTGCTCAGTGGTGTGAAAAAGCCACACCCCTCAGCAATTTAGGGATGTTGACCTAATCCCAGTGCAGATTTAGGGAAGTCAATGGAAGAATGCTACCACTGATATAGCCACTGTCACTCAGGTTCCTACAGTGAAAGAAAAGCTGCTTCTGTCACTATTCCCTGCATCTAACTATGGGGCTATGTCATTATAGCTATGGCACTCCAGTCCTCTTAGCATAGGCTTCCCATGTCTTGTCTCACACCCCTAAAGCTTTTAGAGAACATGTGATTACAAAGTGTACCGAGGCCTTCCTTGATAAATGCCCGTAATAATTCATTGGTGTTCCATCCTAATAATATCCATACCAAAAAAGCTGCCAAAACTGTCAGTACTGAGAGAGTCGGTTGCTGGTTCCCATAGAAGTGGTGGCTTAACCACATTGGCCAGAAACAAAGGGCCATGGCCATTGGGAGCTGCGAATGTCTATGCCTGTAGATGCTCAGGTAAACAACATGTCTGGCAGCCTGCCAGAAGTTAACCCTGTCAAACTATATCTGGCCCATGGGTTAGAGGTTCCCATTGTTTTAGTCCTTTGCGCCTCTAAATTAATTTGTTAGTTGTTATACAAATGAGTTTACTTAATTCTGTAACCAAATCTTTTTGCACAGCTTTTGTAAAAGAAATGCAATCCTTGTTATTTTAATAATTCAGTTAAACCAAATTCTTTTAAGCTCCATTTCATGATGGTGCAGCATGTCTATTTCAGGGTTTACACTGGTGGGTAGCTAAATCTGTTTATTCTAACTTTACATCTATTTAGTTACAATGGTGCACATTTTCTTAACGTAGACAAGCCCTAAAGTTAGTTTTCTATTTGCAAAAAGGGACTAATTTTTAAATGTTACAGTTCATTTTCTCAAAATTGTACAGTACTTTTCCCCCTCTTTCCCCCCAATTTCTTTTAAAAAGTGTAATTTTTAATTCCCCATGCACAGAGAATCCACATGGCTATGAAATTAGGAATTGATTCTTCAGTTCATACTTCTAGTAGTGCTAAAAGATGTAGCCCAGTGCTGTGTGTAGGACCTATAACATGAGTTATGAGAATAAGTTCTGTTTGTTTAAAATTAATTTTGTAAACATGATTGGATTTCAAGTCAGTGTTAGTTCCTTCAAAATCTTTAGTCTAAGAAGAGCAAATAAATTGTTCCTTCAATAAATTGTTCCTTCAAAATCTTTAGTCTAAGAAGAGCAAATAAATTGTTTTTAATATACACGGTCACTTAAACAGCCTCAAGAGGGAGCACTTACCTTACTTTTATGTCTTGCAGAATTGAACAGACTTGGGTGTTTTACACTTTGTAACAGAAGTAGAAAAGAGAAATAAAAAGGAGTGTAGAAAGCGAAACTGACAACATACTACAGTAGACTTCCGATAATCCGGAACCTTTGGGACCTACATGGTGCCGGATTATCGGATATGCCGGACTATCAGGAGGTACTATAAGATGGTTTATAAACCACAGCTAATAGTTCAGCAATTTCCCATTTGAGTTCTTTTAGAACTCTTGGGTGAATACCATCTGGTCCTGGTGACTTGTTACTGTTAAGTTTATCAATTTGTTCCACAACCTCCTCTAATGACACCTCCATTTGGGACAATTCCTCAGATTTGTCACCTAAAAAAAATGGCTCAGGTTTGGAAATCTTCCCAATATTCTCAGCCATGAAGACAGAAGCAAAGACTTCACTTTGCTTCTATTATATTGGTATAAGTGCATTTAGACTAGGGCTTCATACCCTGAACTGGCATAGTTATACTTCAAAAAGTACACTGCCCTTTTTTTTCTCTGACAGTAGGGGTGCATCTACACAGCAGGGCTTAAGTTGAAATAAGCTATGCAAATTGAGTTACATCAACTGCATGGCTTATTTTAAAATAGCTTATTTTGAAATTGGGAGCGTCTACATAGCACTTATTTTGAAATAGAGCACTCTTCCTCCGACTTCCCTTACTCCTTGTACAATGAGGGTTACAAAAGTCATAGTAAGAAGTCATCCAGTATTTTGATATTATTTCAAAATAACTAGCTGCTGTGTAGACGTGGATTAAGTTATTTCAAAAGAATGCTAGTTATTTTGAAATAATGTTGCTGTGTAGATGTACCCTAGAATGTCCATCTGTATAATTGGGACAGTAGCTCTTCCTATTTAACAGGTTCATTGTGATGATAAATACATTTAAAATACTACAGGGATGAGAAGGAAGGAGTCATATAAGTACCTAACAGAGAAAAAGATAAATAATATTTCTGAGACTAAAATGCACAACAGCATTTAACAGCTCCATCTTTTTCTGTGCAAGTTTAAAACAACGATCTCCAATTGGCAGCAAGGGAGTGCAACATCAATCATGTCTATCCTTTATTAGTTTATCATCCTGTATGTTTCTTGTTCTTTCCAGGACATTGTTGCAGCAGTGGTATTATGAGCCACATGTGGAAAATTGGCACATTCACTAGGAGCAGAGACTTATATATTTACATGCAAAGGAAGTACCAGCGTGTTGGAGGCTCCTACCAGGTGCTTCTAAAAAGTCATTGGTGTTTCCATTATAAAAAGCTCTTTGTAGCATATTTGTAGCTTGCTGTATTGTATTTCAGCTAATTTATTAGTAGTTAATTAATTATATGAGTTTCAATGATGGTATCTACAGTCCTTCTTTTACCATTTCATAACTGCACTGGATAGTTACATTCATTGGCAGCAGCTGAATTTAGGCATAATGCAGCCAATGTGGTTTTGTATTAAAAAATAAAAGGCAATGAGCCTGATCTCACTTACACCGTTTTTTTCCCCTCTGATGTAGTTCCCTTCATTTTATCAGATTCACTCCTGATTTTCACTAGTCTTAATGAGAGCAGAATCAGGCTTATTTAAGAAAATAAACTTTTACCTTTTTATTACTAGTACAAAACATCCCCTCTTTTCACTGGGAAACTTCTATCCACTCCTCCCTCAAGTTATGCATCATGATAACATTCAGCCAGCAAAGGCTGGATGTATCCCTTTTCAGAGCCCATGAAATGCAGCTCTCAGCTTTTTCAGGAAACAATGTGTTGTTGAAATGTGTCCCGATGCCTGTATCAAGCAAAAGTCTTTGCTGAGGAACTGAACCAAGGATTTTTGCATGGTAGTATGAAAGTGGTAATCTTGCAAACATCCGGCCAGTCAGAAAGTGACATTCCCCTGTTGTCTACAGTAATTAAAATGTTATTAGTTAATTAGTCAATTGATTACAATTATTGAATGTAATTTATGGAATATTGAAACCAGACTAAGAATCAAACTCAAGTCACGTGGGCCACCGATAATCATCAGATGGTAACAATTTCAGGTCATAGGTAACCTGAGTAGCAATTGAATCAGTAACCTAGAAGTAAAAGCCTCTGTAACTTCTGTCTAATCCAGGGGTAGAGAATCTCAGGCCCAGGGGCCAAATGTGGCCCCCATCTTGCCTGGATTCAGCTTCTGTCACTCAGGGCCCTCCCCAGCATTGAGAAGCCCGCACTGGCACTCCAGCTCTGCCACTACCCTACCACAGGGCTGGAGTACACAAAATGTACTAGACTGGGTCCCATTAGGCTCTGGTGTGTGAGGGGAATGCAGGGAGTGTCTTTCTCCTTCTCAGTCAGGGGCCACGTCAGTTAGGTGTTTTTTTTTTCCTGACTTATATGCAGCCTCAGATTGATTTTTCTGTGGATCAAAAAAGTTCTCCGCCCCTGAATCCCCTGAACAAAATGAGGTGTCTTAATTCAGATCTCTTATTAAATGCAGGTTTTATTTGGAGAGGAAAAATTACAAAGTGTTTGTGTGCATTCACAGTGCTTTAGATAAGTAAATGGGCAGTGTTTTTAAAATATTAGTCAAATGCTTCCAATAAATTTGTTCTAAGCACAAATTAAAAAATAAAATAAAATGGCTTTGATGCTAGAACACTTTAAAATCATTTAAAATATTAGTTAAAAGATCTTTGTTCTTATTTGATCAAGAATGGCTATTAAATATTTGTTCAGGGCTGAATGTCTAGTCATGACTTTCACATGGCCTTGATCTTTATTTAGCTACTCAGATACTCAGTTTATATTCTGCAGAGACATTGGCCATACTACAGGATCATCCAAAGGTCAAAGATTTGGCTTATGACAGTTGATTGCTCCTTCACCAATAAAATCTGTTAGTGCACAAATGGAAACCTCCAATTCATCTGCGGACACATGTTTCATCAAATTTCAGGATGGTAAAATTTTAACAAAGATGAAAATTCAGGTAAAGAATAGTATGTAAAAGACTAGCTTCACTTGCAGTTATCTATACAGTATCAGGAGTCTCTGAAGGTGGAAAATAGAAAGTTACAAAAAGTCTGATGAAATTGTACATATAAAATTGAAACTATATTTAGTGAAGGGGCCTCCAAATTTGACCAATGAAGGGTTCCACTTGCAACTTGTCTTGAGTCTGAGTGCTATGTCTCATTCTTATATACATATGCATAGTTCAGCTTCCCACAGGCAAAATACAAAGGTGTTAGACCACAAAGAATACAGAGCTGAGTATGGATCGAGAACTATAATCTTGATTATTAGTAGTAGTATTTACATTAAAGTAGGTCCTAAAAGTCCCAGCCAAGTTCAGGAAATATTGTGCAAGATTCCACATATACACATAGTAAGAGAGTCCCAGACCTAAGAAAGTTACATAGACTAGACAAGATGGACAAAGAGTGATAGGGGAAACAGGCACAGAGAGAAAGTGACTTTAAATGTAGCATTTTTGCCTTGTAGATCAAGCCAAAAATCACTCTGTGATCTCCACTTCAGTCTCTTAAAATACAGTCCTATGGAGATTACTTCTTAATAGAAAATAAAATGTTTACTGCAGTTTTTGTAATTTTTGTCTCCATGAGTAGGAAGTCTCAACTATAAAGGAATGACAACATCTCCTTTAGGTCTTGCAAATTGGTGGGCTCCATTTTGCCTGAGAAGGAATTCCAGAACCTGATGTGATCCAAGAACCACCATGAAATATGGTACATGCAGACACAGTAAGTGCACTCTCTGATGGAGAAAACACAGATGTAGAATTTGGAACTTCCAGGCTGCTGTTTTGAGACACCACTCCTATTTGGAAATAGGAAAGCTTTCTCAGGATCTGTGGGATGTTTTGATAACCAGAGGCTTGAAACTGTGAAAAGAGCTCAATGAGTTTCAGCCTGTATTTATCACAGAACTGAAGTACTAGACCATGACAACAAGTCTGTGAAAGAAACTACTGCTTCTGAGATGAGTTTGTCCTAGACGTGATAATGCCGAAGGGAATAATTTTAGCAGCAGTGCAAGATCCTAAGAGAAAACCATAGATTCTTTTGGTGGGCAGGTGGGACAAGCAATGTGTTGTTAATTATGTGTGATCTGAACCTGTTGAAGATTCCAGAGAGGTCTTGATCCAAAGCCCATTGCATGTGAGTCTAGTTACTTCAGTAGTCTTTGGATTTGGCTCAACATTTGTAAAGTCTTCATCTTCCTGGTCTAAGTGTGGCTGAAGAACATTGTTGTGCCTAAGGGTAATTCCATGGTTGCCATATCAACTCATTAGGGCTTCCAGCAACTATCAGATTGACCCAACAAAGACTTGTCTGTGGAACAAAGTTAAAAAAAAGGCCACGTTTTTACCTCCCATTTGTGAACTGTGTTGTGCACTGATGATCTTAACCTCTGAAATTATATAGTGTCTTTCATACAAAATTCTCAAAACATTTAAAAATGTTAATAAATGGATTCTCACAATACTTCAGTACAGTGGAAAGAATTTTTACCCTATTTTACAATGGGAAAATTGAAGCACAGATATCTAAAGTGGCTCACTGAAAGTCACAGAATGAGCTTATAACAAAGCTAGAAATAGAACCCAAGATTTAGTCTTAGTGCTGTGTTCTGACCATGCGACTATGCTCCCTTCCTCAGCCTAGTTCACAGAGCACATTACTTACTATTTTCTCTCAAAAAGCTCAATATCTAAACATTTAGTATTATTACATATTGTTCTTAGTGGCTTCAAAGCATGGTTCAAAGTGCCGATATATTTAATCACTCGTGTACATAATAATTTAAATGTACAATGGCAGACTGGGAAAAATATCCAGTGTATATACAGGTACTTCTGTCACACATTTCTTAGACCAACTTTATGTGTGTGTGAGAACTGTGAAATTTGGATTAATTTAAGAGCTCAGGTTGTGGTCGGGTTTGGCTCACTCATGGCACTATTAAAGACGAATGACTATGGGTCCATGACTCTGCTGGTGACTGAAGTCAATACTGAAAAAAAATGGATTTTTTTCTGGGAGACTAGAAAGAATCAGAGGAATCCTCAGTCTCGCCTCATAGGTCATGCGCTCCAGCCCCCTAATCATTTTGGTCGCCCTTCACTAGACCCTCTCCAATGCATCCACATCCTTTCTATAGTGGGAAGCCCAGAACTGGACACAATACTCCAGATGCGGCCTCACCAAAGCCAAATAAAGGGGAATAATCACTTCTCTAGATCTGCTGGCAATGCTCCTCCTAATGTAACCTCATATGCCATTAGCCTTTTTCACTACAAGGGCACACTGTTGACTCATATCCAGCTTCTCATCCACTGTAATCCCCAGGTCCTTTTCTGTAGAACTGCTACTTAGCCAGTCAGTTCCCAGCCTGTAACAATGTTTGGGATTCTTCCGTCCCAAGTGCAGGACTCTACATTTGTCCTTGTTGAACCTCATCAGATTTCTTTTGGCCCAATCCTCTAATCTGTCTATGTCACTCTGGACCTTATCCCTGTCCTCCAGCGTATCTACCTCTCCCCCTAGGTTTGTGTCATCTGCAAATTTGCTGATGGTGCAATCCATTCCCGCATCCAGGTCATTAATAAATATGTTGAACAAAACTAGTCCTAGAACAGATCCTTGGGGCACTCCACTAGAAATTGACCTCCAGCCTGACATTGAGCCATTGATGGAGACCTGTTGGGCCTGACAGTCTAGCCAGCTTTCTATCCATCTTACAGTCCATTTATCCAATCTATACTCCCTTAACTTGCTGGCAAAAATATCTTCCTCTCCTCCCCCTCTCTTGCTGCATCTTTCTGATAGAGGCAGCAAGGAGGTGGAGGGAAGTGACTAGTCAAGTAGCCTGTCGATTATTCAATAAGCATTTACTTATCGGATAGTCCACTAGTCAGCTAGTCATTCACATCCCTAGGAAAAATGGTGCATTTATTGCTTAAGAAGAAATATGACTGTTCATTATAAGTAAAGACAGTAGGCATGAAGCATTGTGACAATCTGGTCTATAAATCACATATGCAACTGTCATTTTCACCTATTAATGGTACTTACCTCTGTAATGGAAAATGACAGCCATTTAATAGTGCAGAGCTATAACTTAGAATAACATAATTTAGGACAGAGAGTGATGAGTATATTAATCAATTAAAATGAAAGGGACATTTTGGAAGGCAGAATGTAACTGTCTAATTGGAAATTAGCCAAGCTATAATGTGAAGCAGTGATTTTGAGGAACTGAAGTGTAAAAAGAGGAGCAGATATTCATGTATTTTATTATACAAAACAAGCAACCACAGTAAAGAAAGAAATCAATACAATTCAGAACAAACTAGATAGTT